AGCTTGTTCTCCATAAGAAAGACAGACACACATGAATATTTAAGTAAGTGGAAGTTTTGGGGTCAGAGGATTAACCAGTTTCCAGTACCCCTGGAGCAGTTAATTGCTCAAGGGCCCACTGATAATACGATTACTCAACTTGTTGCTGGATTCAAACCAACAACCCTCCAGATCAGGAAATGGAACTGGGGTTGGAATTTAAAATCTCCTTGAAATTCGAATTCAATTCTAGTTCTGTTCCCCATAGTTTTTTTCCCCCCAAATCCCAACTTTGATGAATGCATTCCGGAATGGCTCCAGCTCCGCTCCAGACACCGGCCAGGCATCTAATCTGCTAAACTACACTCTGCCCCAATATGACCATATAGATTCATAAAACCTGGTTACACACTGATCCCTTTTTAAGATCTGAACTTCTGAAATGTTTACAGATAGCGGCTCTGAGTTATTCTGCTTTATGACATGGTTGTATGTCAGAACTGAATCAGTAGTGGTATTTCAGAATTCTGGGCGGAGTGCTGCTGCTCCTTTTAAAAGTAGATGCTAAATATTGAAAGCTATGTTGACCTTTGTGTGTGTGTGTGTGTGTGTGTGTGTGTGTGTGTGTGTGTGTGTGTGTGTGTTAAAAAATAATTTAATTAGTCGTCTTGCTATCTACTTATGTGCTCTTTGATACTCGTGAACTTGGTGTCTCCATGCTGTATGTTTCTCTCCGCTGCTGAACAGTTGCCAATATTTGACACAATGGGTACCAAGGTCTCCTAAGATCCCTGTTTCCTTTAGATTTTCCTGTTGAAATATGCAATGAATCAAGTCTAAAAGCTTCCACCAATCTGTAACAACAGGCTTTTCTTGGTTGGCTGATGAAAAGCTGGTTTTGGAACAATGCATCTATGCTAGGCAAATGTACCTGTAGTTGTCTTATAACTTTGTTTTACCAATACAATGCAATTTTTTAGTGGCAATTTAGAGCTATTTGGAACGATGGACTCCTGCTCTCTTTAACTTTTTATCACTGATCAACAGTCACCTCTATTAGCAAGATTGGTGTTTGTCTTCCACCCTTGCCCAGGCAGCAGTCAAGGAAGTTCTCCGATTTAGTGTGGCATAATGGTGACGCGCCATTGGGCATATGGAGGGTGGCTGGGTGTGTTTGATATGGTAGTCCACTGGGCTACCAACTTTCTGAATTTGTCAAGTAGGTTAATTTGTCATTTCAGCCATATACGCAGTGAAACAATCGAAGTATTTTATGATTTTAACAACTACTAGTAGCACAGCGATTTGCAGTCTTTGTAAAAATAAAATTACAAGTCCTGCAAAGTGGAAGCAGTGTTTAGTGGAAAATCCCACTAAAAGCGCATGCAATTGTACAAGACGACACTAGTAAAAATGATGAAAAAAATAATGGATGATTTGGGAGTCGCTAGCTTGGGCTGTTTTGCGCACTCACCGTAGCTTGTGATACATGAGAGGCTGTTGTCGCAACTAAGTGTAAGTAACGCTGTTGCTAGTGGGAGAAAAATTGTGGGGCATTTTAAGCATTAGCACTTGCGTATCCTCGCTGGGAAGACATTAAAATTGAACTGCAAATGCCTCAAAAATGCTTAAAACTAGACTGACATATGAGGTGGAATAGCATGATATTTGTTTCTAGTAGCCTAATTAACAAAGCTTTTTTGTAGACATATATATATTAGGGATGGGCCGATCCACATTTTTTCAGTTCTGATCCGATTCCAATACACAACTGCCGATACCAGTACGGATTCTGACACATGCTCTTTTTACTTTGTTATACTCCGATATCGAATCGGAACTAAAAAAATGTGGATTGACCCATCCCTATTTCTAACATTGCGGTATGCCTGCTGGTTGTGGCGAAACATCCATTATACTGAGCAAATTCCATGGAAGATTTTTGGTCAAAATGCGCAACTTAATATCGGAGCGTTCTCAGCTTTGTGCGCACTCGGACCTGTCTGAGTGCAGATCCTAACACATGCACACGCATGAGCCACATCTCTGGGCATGCCTTTACAGCGTGTTTGTGTGACTTTACCAATCACTAGTACTATTAGTGATTTATTAGTGACTATTAGTGATTACACCATGATAAATACAGAAGCAGAAATACAATATATATAAATAGAATAAATACTGTTAAGTGGTAATTTACACAGGTAAATTACTGTGCAATGTTCACACTTAACAGTATTTATTCTATTTATATATATTGTATTTCTGCTTCTGTATTTATCATGGTGTACATAGCGCAGAGTCTCTTATAACTTTATTTTTAGTTCTTATTCTTATATCTGATATTCTTTTCTTTTATGTTCTTGTCCTGTGTCTATGTGTGACCGTCTGTAGTAACATGAGCAATTTCCTCCGGGATAAATAAAGTTTTTCTGATTCTGATTATTAGATCTTAGAGCTGGGTGATATCTATCTAAAAAAGTAATAATAGCATATTTTAATAATACCGTGATGGGGAATGCTGTCGAGTAGTCTAACACTCCACTCCCTTTCTCGCACACACACACACACACACACAGGTGCGCATAGATACATGTGACACGAAGCAGGAAAATAATTTTTTTAGGCGTCGTAAATAATTCATTGACACATTCTGTCTCGGGGTTATGGGGATATTCAAGTGGCGGTTTTAACCAATCGAACCACCATTATAACCGTACATGGAGTTTAAATATATTAGCTGTGTGTGTGTGTTTTCTTTTCTTTCAACTGTCAACTGGCTAGATGGCTGAACTAAAAGCCAAATCACAAATTTTTTTGTGTGTAGTCTGAACCTGCTTCATTGACAAAGGTGATAATCACTGGTTAGTCACTGTCAGATCCCAAAACCAGGTTACTTGTCAGATATCATCAATTACTGATATTGTTATATTGCCCAGTCCTATTAGATCTTGGTACAAACATGCAACATGCTTATTGACACATTGACATTAATGAGACTTACTTAGGTATCGAAATTTGGTATTGAATGACAAGGCATTTTACTGTGCTAGATGGTATCTAAGCAATTCTTTCGGCGCCATGAAAGAATCAAAGTTTGCTACCCAGCCATAGTGGAAAAGCTGTTGGTCAAAGTCTAAAATTTTCTTGGAGAAACAATAGCGCTACATGTCTTTAACACATTAAAATGTAGTTTGATTATGATACTCTTTAATTATGATGCATTCCCAATATGATTGCACTTTGATTTATTTTATTATGGTTTTTAAATATTTCAGGTGTAGTAGTGGGAGCAGATAAGCAAATCACCCATTGGTAGTAGACAGCGTGTTGAGGATGTGATGTGTACGTGGAATACAATACCAAAGAATGTGGCATGCAGCCAAAGGAAACTGGGCCTATAATTAGTTTTATGTCCAGGGGGCAGAGATATAGGTCGCTATCATAAGCAGAAGTGTTTTTAAGGGACGACAGTGTTCATTTGGCATTGAATTTAGAAATACAATAGTCTGTTAGCTAGCTATCATGTAAATCAGGGGTGGGGAACCTGTTCCATGGCTGGTGTAGGTGTGGGTTTTTGGGGTGACATCTCAATCAGCCAATAACAGTGGATCTCCAGGATTGGAGTTGAGAATCACTGTTTTATTATTGGCTATCCCAGAAACCTGCAACCACACTGGCCCTCCATGGAACAGGTTCCCCACCTCTGATGTAAATCAACATTTTGCAGCTTCTGGCTAGTACCCGTTTACTGTGAGTTGTTTTGTATTTTAAACAATTCTACATCAATTTGTATTGTTAAAAATACAAATGAACAGTACATCTAAACTGATACCATCATCCTACAGTTAAGCACTGTTAATGTTTGGCTGGCTGTTTACATATGTAATATTAACGCAGCTTGGGGTTTCTTGGGTGGATTCAAAAGCTGCATCTCCCCTGTAGAGATTTGTGTCTGAATGCTGATGAGGGAGAGCATGAGTGGATGTGACCCAGGTTAGGCAAGGGAGGTCTTTTTATGGGCAAGCAGGAAAGGAAATATGGGGGTGACTTTGAGGTTGTGTGGTTTTGTTGTTATGGATTGCACATTGATCAGGTATGGAATGCCTCTCTCAGGATTTTAACTTACCCATCAAGTTTTTTCCATTACGCCTGGCATTTTTCACAGCTTAGAATTTGGATAGGTTTTGTGTAAGCCACTCTTAAAAGACCAGTGATGTAAAAAAAAGTTTAAACTTTTCATTGCAGCCACATGCCTTCAGGTTTACTTCAGATGTTGTGTTGTCTTTGACAGGGTTACAGTGTTTTATTTTTCTCCTTAATTGTAAATGAATGTCACCTTGCCTGGCAGGAGAATCCTTACAGCTACAGCACATTTACCAAGTCCAGTACCTGCAGTCAAATATGGTAGCGTGGCACGCTTAAATACTTTTGTCTTTGTGAGAGTGGTGCTACGATGTGAAAGTTTACTCAGAGTGGTTTGAATAAAAGCTACACCAAGCCAAATGCCCCTCCCCAAACTGCCCCAGGCATTGTGACTAATGAGCCCTTAGCACTCAGGTCCTCACATTGTCACATTACATCCTGTATTGTATTGTTGGGTTGTCTTCCCTGCAGTAAATTGCAACAGCAGTCATTTGTCATTAATGTGTCTTCCTCTGGAATAAATTAGTTTTGCAAAGTTCAAATATATTTGTTTATTGCCTGTGTTGCTGTGAGCTTATGGCTGAGTGGAATGTCAACTGAATTTTATCGTATGTTATTTTTGATTTGATTGTATAGTTATTTTTTTGTATTATTCTTGTCACCTTAATGACAGCCTTTACAAGAGCACAATTTATCAATCTACAGTGAAAATCATACTTGGTACATAGAGCCCCATTCCCAATATCAGCCAATTAGTCTCATTATCAGCCTTTGTGTCTCAGACTTTGAACCTCCATTAGAAGTCGCAGCACTCTGTACTGTGGTGCACCTGTCAGTCGTTGATCCTGCCTGATGGTTTCTCCCTCTCCCGACAGGCTGTCCCCCAACGAGGCAGTAGGTGGGTGGTGTTGGGCGAGCCTCGGCACTGAGAGAGCTCGCCGCACCCATCTCTCTGCGCTGCATGGCTGCGATGGCGCCCGCTCTTACCGACGCGCCAGCCGAAGCTCACCACATCCGCTTCAAACTGGCTCCTCCATCCTCCACCCTCTCTCCGGGAAGCGTGGAAAACAACAGCAACGCCAGCAACATTCTGATCTCGGGCAACGTCAAACGCAAGGCCGCCGCCCCCCCCAGCGAAGAGTGCTCCCTGGACTTCCGGGGCAGCAGCAACAACAAGAAGGAAGAGCAGCAGCCCGTCGAGGGCCCCCCGACCCCCTTGGCGAAGCTGCAGCCTCTGGTGGCCTCTTACCTGTGCTCTGATGTGACTTCTGTCCCCTCCACTAAGGAGTCCCTTAAGCTACAAGGTGTCCTCATAAAGCAGTCTGTCCTGAAAACACAAGGTATCTTGCCTGGCTCCTATTTCAGTGGGGACTTCCTGCCCCGGAAGCACCAGACTCTGGAGCTCTGTGGAGAGCAGCTCAAGAGCCTCATGAGCAGCAGTGGCCAGCCCACGGCTCCTCCCCCCTCACAAACCCCTGTCAATGGCCTGGCCAGGAAGCAGGCGCGGACCAGCATTGACAGAGAGTCCGCACCCTCGCTCAATGGAGGCCAGCCGGAGGCCGGGAGGGACTCCCCTCCACGGGAGGCCGAGCCACTCTCTGCCCAGGAAGACCTTGCTAGCCGGACTCTCCACAAAGGGGGTACGGAGCAGCGGCCGCAGCCAGCTGGCCTTTCGTGTAACGTGGCCAGTAGCTCAGAGCAGCCGGCCGGCCCCGCTGCCTCCGCTGTGGTCTCCGCAGTACACGAGTGCCTTGATGTTAAGCCAGAAGTAGTCGGCAGCCCCTTGGCGGCACCTGTGAGGGAGGGTGAGGGGGCGGCATGCTCCTCGCCCGCGGAGCCGCAGGCGCAGCTGGACATCCGAGAACGTACCCTGCAGAGCCAGAGTCGCCAGGGCGAGATCGAGGGCCGGCTGCGTCGCCTGCGGAAGCGGCTGCAGGTGGTGCAGGCAAAGCAGGTGGAGCGACACATTCAGCAGCAGCTGAGTGGCCTCCTGCACACGGCTCTTGGCAAGATGCCCAGCCTGGATGCTCTGCGCCGACGTAGCCCAGCCATCCTCACGCGCAAGACGGAGGCGGCGCTGTGGCGGGCGGCTGCCGAGGCGGGCACGGGCGACGGCCTGGGTCGCTTTCTGCGGGAGGGCACAGTGCCCCTGGAGCTGGATCGCCTCTCCCTGAGTGGCGTGGCTAACCTGCGCTCTGCCGAGAGCGCCTTCGACTCAGACGTGACTGAGAGCAGTTCAGGAGGCGAGACCGACGTGGAGGAGGATGAGCTGACCAAGGCTGACATCAACCAGTGCCATATCTCCATGTGAGTCACATGACCGGTGGGGCGGGGCTGTCACGTCGTGACTATGGAAGTCAGAGACCTGAATTCAGGCTCTGTGCAGACAGTTAATTGGCTTTGTGATGCTGAAGATTGACTTAATGAATAATGTATAGTGCTGATGACGCTTTTGCTCAACATGTATATACATGCTACATATTAGGAATTTTAAAAATTGAATTAAGCTGGTTTTGTATTGATTGTCTCAGGTAAATACAGTAAATACACTTACGGGACTGTTATAACTAAAACAGTCACTTTGTAATTGAAGTAGAAATTGACTTTTCTGAGCGTAAAACTTATTTATAGGCTGGCTGGAACTGAAGCCAGGGTCTGCAAGAGATGCTGCTTCTAGCCACCACAGCAATGAACTCTGTCTTTGGTGTTGCACTTGAGTTCATGTTGCTGTTGTGATGGAGGGAAAAAGCAGCCTGGAAGGGCCAGTTATGCCTTTTAAACAGATCTGGAGGGACTAAAAATCTGCTCCTGTTTGCCATTGGTTTCAATTCTTACTTTGCCAGACCAGTTCCAGGAATGTTTAATTTTCCAAATCCGTGGAAATTCATAGTCCTAATCCTGTGGAAAAATGTACGTTCTTATTTAGTCTGCTCACTGCGGTGTTTATTCATGACTGGAGGCACTGTGTACCGTGTACATCATGTGGGACTCCCATGCAGTTCTGTGCACGAACTGCACCAGCACTTGGTTTGCCTGGTGGTGCCCGTGGAGCTTTGCTTGCTTGGTTGGCCACCTGTGGATGAGGCCACAAGACCTCATCTAGAACACACTAAAGATCAATAGGCTTCTGGCTGACCTGTATTAATTATTGATGACATAGGTAAGTTAATGGCTCGTTTAAGTTAGCAAGACAGGTTTTCTTTTCCATCTGAAGCAGAAGGTGTTAAAATAACAGCCATTGCACCCATGTGTTTTAACAAGGTTTTATTTTGAGGACGTGTCCATTTCCAACTTGTAGCTGGAGTATTTTGTTTTGATCTAACAAGGAATGTGCAAACAGCTGTCTTTAGGTCTGTAGTGTTTAGACTGACAAATTGTCTGAAGGATGCGTATTGGCAGTATTTGGCCAGTGTTTCACCAGGGTCTTAATCATCTTTGAATCCCAAGGGATGGCCTACAGGCCTTTGCTGCTTCCCATGCTGCCCCATGCTGTTTCCAGCATGAAATTTTGGTACCACTTTACAGTAAGGCTACCCTTTGCCACTTATAAATGGTAGTAACTCATTAATAAGAAAACTTTGGTATAACTTGTTTGTAATTGTCTAGTAATGATTTACGAAGTGTTACAACCTAATTAATAACCTGCTTATAAACCATTCATAATCCCTTTATAATGGTAGCCTTATTGTAAAGTGGCACCGAAACCTTTGACCGTAAGCCGTAAGTGCCTGCTCTTATGTGTATGTCTGAAAGGAGGGTAAATAGTACGAGGCCATTAAAGTCCTGGAACAGACCCTGCGTGTGTGTGCGTGCATGTGTGTGCGTGTGTGCGTGCGTGCACTCGTCTGTGACCAACTGACAGGTATATTTTGTGGTCACAGTTATGTACACATTTTATTGATCGTGTCTCATGAAGGGGTATAATGGGCAGGCAGTTGCTATAGCCTTCATAGGGGAAGCTAAAAGCATCCGTGTCTGTGTGAGAACTGGCAAAGTAAAGGGCGGCCATGTTGCAGGATAATCCAGGCTCAGCGAGATGCTGTGTCACATGGTAGCGCAGCACCGAAAATAATAGGCTTACTAACACATTGTGACACGAGTGTGGCAGGACGCCGGCAGTACAGATGCATGCCGGCGGCCGTCCCTTTGAGGGATTGGGTCAGGAGAACTTGTCCAGGTGCTGGGCTTACTATAGGTGCTAAGTGAATGGCTGCAGTCCTGAGTGATTTAGAATTGGCTTAAAAGGCATCCTGACTTATGGTTTTTCCTGGCTTACTGTCATGAGAGCTGTCCTTGTTCTGTGTGTTGGAAAAGGTCTCTCAGGCAGTTTTTAATTTGGACAAAAGGCTAGTGGATGTACCCCCCCCCACCCCTCCCCCAAAAAAAAAAAAAA